ATTTGAGGTTCTCACGGTGGTTAGAACAAAGATGGCTGCCTTCTTGGTTGTAGTGTCATGTTCTTTGGTAGAAGTTTCCCAACGTTTCAGAGGTCCTTGCTGCCTCCATCATCAATCGCCCTAATGATGGAGGCAGCAAGGACCTCTGGCAAGGCAGACTACACAGAACCCAGAAGGCGGGCTTTTTCATTCCACGAATTATGTTAACACCACTGTATAAATACCATACACTGTAATAAATACGAATAAATAAGAAAGTTGTCAGTAGACATGACGTTTTGTATCTGGTTCTGTATAATGTCAGCTTCCACGCCTGCGTTCTGCAAGAACGCACTAGTCCATCATCTGCCCATTAAATTAACCATTGTCACTGCTAGTGCTTGTCACGAAGCATGCAGCGGGGAGCCTCGCACTGGTCAGTTAAAGCCGTGGGAGGTCTCCACCATTCTTGCAGCCGGCAATATTCGAGTAACACCAGTCCTAGAGAGGGCTGCTCACGCCCATTGAACCCTCGCACGCTTCCTTCATGGAGGCTAAGCACGGATAATCTATACCAAAGGTAACAATATACATTGTTTGAATATTAATTCGATTAGGCAGACTATCACTCGTGAGTCTACTCATTTTCTGACCATTAAATCTGGTCAGACGAAGGTTAGGCATTTCTGAAAGTAGTCCTTGGTTCTGGGGTGTAGTTGATTGATGTGTGTAGTAACTAATTCACTCCATGAAGATGAGTACTTCTTGAGAATTCAGTAGTCTGTGAGCCAATTATAAAATTATCCACAATTTATGGAACACAACTATTCATTAACGATTTCATAACAGACCCTATTATGTGTCATAGAAACACACGGACTCCATAAAAGGAAATGAATTTCTTGACTTTGTGATCGACTATCAATTTCCGAAGAACTCTGCTAGACACTGTTTTAGTCGGATTAATCTAGCCAACAGCCTCACATACTGACTCTATGGTCTATTTCAATATTATTCTCCCATCTATGTCTAAGTTTCCCAGTGGTCTGGTTCCTTTAATTTATTCAAATATTTGTAGATTATTTAACGATATTGTCAGTATCGCAGACTACACAGGATGACCAATTTGAAATACATTTCAAAGTATATGGAAGGAAGCGTTCATGTGTGATTTAAGGAATTATTCCACAATTTATCTGTGGTGACTGAAGATGATCACGAAACGCCCCATCCATTAAACTCGGCCTCCGGGCCGAGGTTTGAACCCAGGATCCACCGAATACAAAGCAGGAGTGTTAACCAGCAGATCGCATTCATTCATTTTAGCTTTTACATTTATAATATTGTCCTGTGCTTTTTGTTTTAATCTGTTAATTTTATCTTGCTTAATAATATTTTCATCCTTTGAAGAAATCTCTGGTTCAGTTACAGTAACCTAACTGATCTCTATATGGTAAAATGAAATACAGATTTAATAATACGGCCGTGAGTGCTGAATCCATGAATATATTTCATAGATAGTGGGAAAATTCTCATAGCTTGTCCCTACAATCTGCCTCATATTTATTTGTTTCGATGTAATATTGCGTTCTGCTCGTACCACGCATGCATGACTCATGACAAAAGAGCAATTTCATAGTTATTACGCCCCTTCTACATAAAATAATCCCTTCTAGACATCCTCCCCAAATTCGTATAGTGTGTTTTATTTAATGGCTCGTGCCCTCCACGTTTCCAGAAGAAACGTGTCCCCTTACAGTTCGATTTGAAGTTTCTCGCTTCACACAGATTGCTAACGCTCTCTGATAGATGAACCAAGTTAGTTCAGCAAGTAAAATGACTCGCTATGGATTGAACAACCTGTTTTAAAGTTTCAGCACAGCCGTGATCAAGCGGTCGAATCCGAAAGTGTTTGTAATGCACAACCGTACAGCTCCAACTCTAAGCAAATCTACATTTTAAGTTGATAATTTGTACATCCTTCAAGTCTGATCAAACCTTGTGACCGAGTGATTATCATTCCTGTTTTGCATTCGCAGATGCTGGGTTCAAGTCTCAGACCAAGATAACAGATGTCCGTGTTTTCATTCATTCTCTCCAGACATTCCCGATAGTACACGTACTTTTAACGAGGACCAATTCATTATTCGTAACTCATGCAACATAACGAGGCAGTGAAAAATTTATAGCTAAATAAATCACCAATCAAGATCGAACGGATTTATTATATAACTCCAGAACACACATTATAGCTCTAACCCTGACTTGGCGTGGTTCAAATGGGATAAAATATTTTCTACCCATAATTACTTTTTGAAATTAATATTTTGGAATTGAATATACAATTAAAGTATGTCACAAATACTTTAAATCATACATTATTATGATTTTAATTTATACATACAACAAAATTTAATTTAATATGTAAATTATTTACATGCCCCGCCCATTTATTCTCCTTCATGAAGAGTAGTACATTAAAAATGTTTAAAACATATTTAAGCCCTTTCCCTCTCAAAATATTTCAAGTAATCTTGAATTACTTATTTGGGTTATGGGAGAAGCTAGTGAAAGTTAAGACTAAAGTTACGAATTTGTGTAGTTTAAGCCACAAATTCTCAAGAAAGTTGCAGTATTCTTTTATACACCGTCCATTGTGTATTTTATCATATTTCCTATCGCCAAATGTTACTAGTTATTTCCATCGTGTATGGTTTCACTTATTTCGCTAATATTATTTTAAAAACTTGGAAGAGCAGTAAGGTTTTTGCTAGCAAGCCACTGTCAACTGTTTCTTTGTTTTCTTATTGCTGTAACAACGAATGAACTACATGCGTGTTTATCCAGACACACAGCCGTCTATCGTGAAACCAAATTTACGTTTGTATTTTGTTTTCTAAGTCTCCTGAAGACGGAATATCTTGCTGTGTGTGCAGAATATATATGTGTGGTTTGCACGTTAATAAGCCTGTCTCCTCTGATATTATGACTAGAAGAAGAAACTAAATGTGAAAAGACAAGTAACTTGTGCCGCTAGAAACAGAATCTCCCCATCACTTCTACCCCCCTCCCCCCCTTATATAGAGTGTGCCACCGTGTGTTAGGTCCTCTAGTAGCAGTGTCTAGATTAGTTTTCGATCCTTAGACTAATAATTACAGCCGACCTGGACACTAAATGGACTTCAGATTATTCTGCTATGCGGTCTCAATGTACATGCAATGTTTTACTTTCCTTTCACGCTTTGGCTTTTAAATTCCATTCAGAGAAAATGTTAGTGGAATTAAGCACGATTACGTATCTTTGTACATTCTCGATTTCTACTCTAAATTTAGATAGGAAAACGACTTCACGCGTTGGATATTTTTCCCTCCGGGCAAAGACTATTCAGTGGATAGTGAAGGGGTCCCACTTATTCGTCCATTCCGAGGAAGAATTTCACGAGATGACTAAACTTCAGCGGTCGAGATCGTAATCAGTTACATTTCTATGGAATATATTTGTAGTGATGCCGCGTGACATGGACCAAAATCCTAACATTCTGGGCACGCTTTATTTCTGGCAGAGAGACAGACAGACAGACAGACATATCCCTTCAGCTCGTTTGTTGTGCGGACGCCCAGATAGTGACGTCGAGAAGAATTTCAGTGAAGGGGGACACACAAGAGAGGGAGTGAAGTAAGAACAGAAGGAAATTCACCGACAGAGAACGGAAGACATTTGAAATTACAGTGACCACGTAAAGATAGAGCCATATTATGATACAGTAGAATTCCCAGTGTCTGAATTACTTCAAAATAAATTAAATTACGGGAATCAATAAGAAAAATCGAGATAGATTCCCACGTGTTTTGATTTTCATGGCTGTAGTTAAATGTATTATTTCTGCCTTCGGGTATGAACATTATCGAGCGTTGAAAGTTATCCGACGTTTTGACAATCATCTTTTCCACTAACCATGTATTCGCTAAAATCCTTTCATCTCCTTCCCGATACACGCTGTAACCTCGATTTATTTTGTCGCTCTTTTACTGAACCACGTTCTCGTTACCAATTGTATAGCAGCCACCCGTTCTGCTCCATCAATTAGAATCGTCGTATCTCACTCGCTGCTTGCTGCCAGCTATTTTTGTCTTCTAAAAGAAACACCCAGCCTATAAATATTCACCCAGAAAAAGTAAAAATGCACTGATGACCGAAACGTTGGATGCGGCTTATTCCCATATTTCCAAGTCAATTTACAGAAAAAAGCACATGCGAGCTTTTACCAGCCACCGTCTGTGTAGCCAATGTTATGATCTCTATCCATAAGTAGAGCATCTACGTCCCATATGTCAGTCTTGTGGAAACTTCGCCAATTCGGACTTCCTGCTTGGTGTCAGCAACTTAATCAATGTATCTGCGAAAGCCCGCTTGGATATGAGATTGAAAAACCATGTTATAAAGCTTCCATGTGTCAAAATTTTGAGTTGAGATTATAATATCCCACTTGCTGTCAATTATAGCCATTTGACGGATGTCACTCAGTTCCATATTTCAGTGGCACAGTCATTTTCTTTAAAACACAATTCTTGTTACTGCATACGCGCATAATTGTCGCAGATGAAGATACGCATTTGTATATTCGCATAGGCTTGTTAAGGTACATTGTTTTATCACAAAATATATAGTCGAAAAAACACAGTGGCCCTAAAAGCTGTATACGAACATTCAATTAATAAAATAAAGGCATTTAATGAATTAAACTATTACAACCGCCAGCACTAGCACTTAGTAAATTAGCGAATTAGTTCAGGTGTTCAAAATTACTACCGTTAGCTTCGTGGCACATTTGACCGGTGAGAACCTGACAAGTGGCCACCAGAATTGCTGCTCTATATACATCATTATGGCGCACTGTGTGTGTGTTAAATCAAACTGTCGAAAGTCGCACATTTACGACACAAACGTTACAAAGACCAGCAAAATAAGACAACAGCAGCAACAATAATAAAATAATAATTCAATATATATATATATTTACTGATCGTAGTCTCTGCGCTGTCTGAGGTGTGGGTCCTGGCCGCTCAAACACTGGGATCGTGGGGTCGAATCTCACTCGAGTCATTGATGTTTGCCACCGCCTTTTTGTGTAGACTGGCTTCTGCAGGCAGAGACCTTCCGATAGGCCGATCCCTACAGGATCTTCAAGGAGTCCTGAAAAATTTGAAAGATTATTTGAAAATATGCCACAAAATACCTCCAGACAGGCAAGAGGTCAGACAAGAACTACAGAGAAAGAAGATCAAACCATAAGAGAGATCATTACAACCAAACACAACAGAAAGTATTTAAGTGATTTATAACAGCTAATTAATGCAAACACTCAAAACTATAGATGACGCAGAAAAGAGGAAGGAAGCGTAAACTACAAACTACATGGAGTGGCTGGTCAAGAAATCCCCGTGCCTTCTACAGAACTAAAGGTTCATTACGTGTTTACAATAACCCACCAACCACCTCTATCCTCAGTCAGATAGATTCAACTCACACCCCCAAACACATTCTCATAAAGTTGAATTGAAATGTTATCCTTCGATCAACTCCTACGCTTTCAAAGCGGCCTCTCCCCTTTAAACTCTTCTACCAAAATTCTGTACGCATTTCTCATCTCTCCCCCAGCGCGGTATAAAATGCCCATCCTTATCAATTGTATAATCTCAATATCTAATAAAGGGTACAAATAAGCTTATAAAAATGTGTACAAAAGTATATTGTGATTATTACCACCAATATATTTTGATGAATATCTAAGAACAATTAGTTTATTCGTAACAACATGATTCATTATACAAACATCTTTAGGTCATTAAAATGTAATTAAAATAAAAATTAATATTAAATTTTAAAAGAAATCTAATGGGAATATTTGTGTGTTGCATAAGCCCATTTGTTACATTAAATGTTTACATTGTGGATATTTCTGTACGGTTAACTGTGTTTGTTGAAATTGTTGAACCAATTTTACAGAACGTTCAGGTGATCTGCATGGGGGATCTTATTGGGGACATTTTAAGTTGGTTGAATGAAGTTTGAATATAATATTGCTCGAAGACATTGCGGGCTGGAGTAGGGTTTTTCTCTTTTGTAGTTATAGATTAAATTATGAAGGTGTTTGTGCAAATCCAATTGGGTAAACTAGAATCAGTGAACTGAGTACTTACGCGAGCCTGCAGTTAACTGACGCCCGTCCTGGTTTGTACTGCTTGTCGCGTATATGTGCGCATGGTACGGTGCGTATATAGGTGCTGCCATCTATATTATACTTTTTAAATTTGTGGACATTTCCAAATATTGTATTTTGAGGTTCGGCATATGTGTCATTTAAAATGTTCCCATTGATTTGTCTACTTTTATAAATATTGTATCTTTTCGAAGTATTTATTAACTAACCACTTCGGTAATTCGCTGTCTATTGTATCATATATTGTTACTAACATATGTCTATTATCTAAGGAATGCTGAACATGTTTTAAATGTTATTTATTGGATATGAGAGTTTTAATATGTTAATTACATCATATTTTCAATGTACGTTCACTTCGACCTATATATATATATATATATATATTTTGGTTTGCAACGATAAATAGTCTTCAAACATAATCTCTACCCACAATCGTAATATAAAATAAGAAATGCAACCAGCGACACATCCAAGATTATAAGTTACGAATTTTGAAACTGAATTCTTTTCACATGTAACTTCATGTTATTGAATACGAATGATCAATAGGAAATTCTTCTGAACGAAAACATAGTTCGTTGTTCTGCGGGAGCCTAATAATATTGCATTTGTTAGTAGACGCTAAAAAAACACGACAAATTTCAGTCTGAAAACCCTGTCTCAGGTTCCAGATTCGAAACCATGGCCTCATGCACAAGAAAGATGGATGCTAACCACTACACCTTATTCTGTATTCCGAAAGTAACGGCCTTCAGACCGAATACTTCCTCGTCTGTGGTTTACCACAGTACTTGTAGTCAAATGCTGGAATAGTACCACGAAACTATATCACTCACAATCATCCTGCCATTCGCCACTATAGAGCGTGTCCCACAAGTCTTAAGCAATATGAGAACTCTATTATTTGCCAAAATATAAAGACAAACATCCAAGAAAATAGTCGTCACCGTGAGATCCTGAAAAGTCACTAGCACTTTATCTGTTTATGCCAAAGATTAGTCTGTTTTAAGTAATGAAACAAATCTGAGAGAAGTAATACAGACAGAATAAAGCGTCAACGCGTATGAAGTAGTTGTGCAGTCTGAAAGTAACCATCGGTTGTTTTGAAGTCACTGGTTCATTGTAACGCCAGACGGAGTCACTGACGATCGGAAAGTGGACAGCCGTGTGGTAAGAGAAAGAGAGAGGTGTAGGTGTCGGTTGGCAGACAGAGGATGGTAATAAGCACTGTAGTAGGGACCACACAGGATCGATTGACTAATCAGGGTCGTTTGTCTCGTGGGAGCTTTGTGTGATGTACAAGGCGATTAGAATAGGCGTAGTAAGCAGCATGCTACAGTTATTGTGCACTACCATGTGACAGTTAGCCCTTTAGAGGTTATGCTTCACTGACTATTGAATAATAGCCTGACTTTTGTGACATACTATGGGAGATTATATCTGGACTCTCGGTGCGGGTACGTCATCTATGTTCTTCCATTCATTTCCTCGCAGTTTGTATCGAAGGTCTGACAAAATTAGACCTGCCTTTGTTCACAGATGCGTGGCGGGTCGGTTTTTCATTCGCTCAAAAGTCAGTATACCATTTCTGTTTTGTGTGTCTGATCTCTCTGCTAGACTAAATGTGAAGTTTGATTAATTTCAAATAGTTTCTGTATGTTACACAGTACGAATACAAATTAATCTTGTGTTTATAGTGTCACTCTGGAAAACACTAGAAAGAGTGGTTTAATTAGTTTTAATATCATCTCACTAGGAATATATTGAAAAAAAGGTCTGTACACCATTTACATGTCCCTGGCTTTTGTTCCTTTATGTAATGCATTCTTTTTTAATTTTTAGTGATCCAGTGACTTTTCAAGTTCTCATGGCATCGAGTATGAAAATGGCTGTCCCCCGGACTCTTTCGCCGTGCAGTCTGGTAGAAGTTTACTAACGTTTAAGAGTTACTTTCTGCCTCTATCATCAGGGCAATAATGTGATGGAGGTAAAAAGCACCTCCGAAACGTCGGTAAACTTCTACCAGACTACACACCGCAACGACACTGGTAATTCACTTGTAACAACTTTAAGTTGTAAACATGAATTTGTAGTGGTTCTACATCCATTTAAGGGTGGTCAAAGTATTAAAGGAATCACTTTAAAACTCTGTGAAGAAGTCCAACCGATTTCTTCCGACAAATGTGTCGAAACTTCAAACACGAAAAACAAGACTAGAAATATAGACGTTACTTTATGCTCATACATATGAAAGAACTTTACATACATATATGGAGTAAAACTTTTTAGAACGAATAAAAATATCCTGGACCGGCCTATGTTTAAAAAGCGAAATTACAAGTTCGTTCACTATTACCTTTTAGTAAGAAATAATTTATAGTCTACGTCTGAGAGCGTGTTTTACCATATTTTTACCCTATTCGCACTGTTTACAAGAACAAAGTTTTCAAAATGATTCAGCAAGTAACTGTTTTATTTATACGTTTTCTCATAAACTATGTAAATTTAACGAATTCGCAAAATAGAAAATCGACTCATTCATTAACATATTAATCTACAACTAGGTGACACACAATTTGAAATATTATATTGCTATACGAACACATTTTCACTGAGAAAACCGATACAGAACATGGACCTCAGTCAAATGAAGTAACTAATGTCAAATTTTTAGCAAAATACCAGACTATATCATTGCTTAAATATTTCGTTTCCAAAAACATTTTTCCTTATTTTTCATTCGTCCTATAAGAAAATCTTGATAAGAAGAAATGAAATCAACTGCGTATTAGTATTATGGTGGGCACACTTTTAACTACAGCAGTAACCGCAGATTTAAACCCTCAAAAGCACAAGACAATTACAGCACTACCTTTAGTGGTCTTGGTTCTATCCGGTAAGTGGTGACGTCAAAGTTTATCACCACTTAATATTCTGTTACTTTTGAGATTTTCCCTTGGGTAGGTGCTAAAGAATTTTGGAAATCGAATAGGACGACCTCGTCTAGAATACTTGGCAAAGATTTGCCACCCCTAGCTTGATGGAAAAGGGGAGTAAGAAGCTATTTTAGTTATTTTTACGTCAAAGACACAGTTAAAAATAAATTAGTATTTAAGGAAAATTCGTTTGCATGTTTCCTAAGTTCGAAGGAATTAAGTCAGTACAAGTTACTTAAACATAAATAGTTGCATCCTTTTGTGTAGATAATGGATAACAAAGACTACCGCCAACACAACTGATGTATTATATTTCAATTATTAAATAGATAATTAACACAGCAAGGATCGTCATCATCATCAGGTGTGTTATACACAGAAATTATTAAAAGTCAAAACATAATTTACTAAAATACATAATTAATATACGGCGGTATATATCCGTACTTAACAAGTGGTGGAAGTCAAAATTCTAAAATATAGTTTTAATAACGTGGTAGAATAATAAAAGGTAGAGATAAAAATGATAAAGACCATGATATAGGAATTATAATATATTAGTTATGTTGATGGCAGTCTTAATCATTGTTATCCAGTACAAGTTACGTTTAACTTAAGACATTCTTCCGTGGCACCAACGATATAATGAATGTCCAGTCGTTACAATTTGTAAGTCTACACACGTTATCTTGTCTTTTCTCAGCAGCTTGTACGTGCTCAGCCCTTCAACACCTTCCTCCTGCCTGTGTGAAACCAGAAAGCTCATCGCCGTCACCACAAAATTCGCGACCTAACACGTACAGACAAAGCTCCTGGCTTAAACCCGGGAGGTTCCTGGTACTATATCGTCTGAATTTCCACGTAACCTGACTTTGAATTGTTTTAACGAATTTGCGCTGCAGAATCACAGAATATTAGAATGTCACACTATTCCATTGACCAAAAAAGTTATTTTTCGAAACCGTTTCACTTTTAAAAGTTACATGTCATCGAATGACAACAACATGATGAAGAATGCAGGAAAAAAAACTATTTTAAATTTAATTGTCGTGGCCTATTTTATATCCGGATATACTCTCCTGATTACATTGGCGAGACTTCGAACCGCTACCTCCTGAATACAAGTAGAGAACGTTACCATTTTACAGCTTCCTCGGCCTAGAGCGTTCAATATGAACTCAAAATTATTTCAGGAAATAAAATTAAAATTAGGAGACTTGATTAAAATGTTTTGGTGCATGGGGAAATAAGAATTCGGTACAAAGCAAAGTAACTAAAGTGAAGCTGTCTCGCTATACGCCATGTAGGCGCTTGAGGGGAGAGACCGTAGAGCTGCTACTCATTCCTAATCTCGGCACTAGATGGGGTGGATGGTCAGCGTCACACACCGGCCGTTCTTTACCACAGGAAAACGAACCCGGTACCCATTGGATAGGAGCCTGAGTGGGTGGGAAGTCGACACAAAGCTTCGGTGAAGTGAATAAAACCCTCGGGAGAGGTCATATTAGAGAAATAAGGTGTAAAGTTGTGGGTTAGTTTCAATTGGATCAAAACAGGGTTTTTGCGCATACATCATGAACATCTGTGTCACACGCAATCTGTGAATTTATTGAAGTACCAAGTAGCTATGAACAGCTGAAGCAGGGCCGTGTACCAATGAGTTAATTACAGTTGGGGTCATTGTTCTGTGACCTTTAACACGTTCTCTGGCCCTGCAGTCCATTTCTATGCTCAACAAGCTGTACTTTTCACCACAAGTAGGCGTAATTTTGCCACCATACCGTGTTACATTGTTCTACCACCATCTGCCATCGAATCAATCTGTGTGACGTCATATGTCGCATGTCCAAGGGCATTCATTATGCTGCAGTAGCAGCGAACTGTGACCATCACCACAACGTACCTCTCCGTCACCTACAGAACTTGTGGCGAGGTCACCCCCGCCCCCACAACCTCGTATCTTGTCAATTTCGATCATGAGCTACAATCGACACACAATGAAGTACATTTGTCTGTATTGGAAAAAGGACTCAAGTTATTTATTTTTAATGGTCATCTGCCATGATACATCTTTACCTCTCATATAATTTACCAGAGTATAAGAACGTATTTCATATTTAGTATCCATTATG